GGAATGCTAACCTAACTCGTGACTAACGAGAAAGAGTCCGTGCGTGCCAGAAACGGAGGAGCAGGGAGAGGCCCCCAGATGAAGGGACCACCCCAGCAGCCGTGTTGCTGCATTTAATTGCTGGGACCACTTACGGCTAGTGACAGCAAAGGAGCATGAAACAGAGCGTGGTTGGCAGGACAAGGGGAGAGAGCAGCAGCAAAGCAGCTGTGCCCACAGCAGAGCCACGAAAACACCGAGAAAAGAGCAGCCCAGCTGCAGGTGGGAAGATGGGATGAGATAAAAGCCTTCAAAGAAACCTGACCCCATTAAAGAAGAGGGTTTTGGGGGTACTTAATGCATGTTGTATAGAGGCCCATCTCACTAGCCCAGTGCCTTGGCTGGCCACTGAACAGCACTGCAGGCAAATGAAACTGGTAAAGTGCAGAGAGGCGAGGAGAAGGGCACGTGAGAGGATGTTTCTGTGCTTGCAAGCAGTGCCAGCTATTAAAGCCATAGGTGCTCCTCACCTCCCTTAGATAAGATGCTCTGAGCTAGTCAGCAATATTTCTTATTCAGAGGGCCTTGGGCAGGTACCCAGGCTTATGCAAAGAGTGCACAGGACATCACACAGCAGTATTTTACACCTAGCTTCTTCAAATACATATGGATTTTATACCTACCTTCTTCAAATACACATGGAAAAACAAGACAACAACAGAAAAGTCAGCCCCACTTATTGCCTATTCCCAATGGATCAAGGTAATGGAAACTAAAACAATCTTTCTTTCACCAAAATGATTTCCAAAAATTGAAGTGAGAGGTGATAGAATGGGTTTTAAATGAATTTTTTTTCTAAATAAAAAGAAAAAAAATATATCTCCTGGGGGAAAAACTTCTACACCCAGCTTTACACACAGAAAAACCCTAACATTATAAAATCACTCAAAAAGAGGGTTATGCTCTTCAAATGGCAACTCCCTCACTCTTAACTGTAGTATCACAAATGCAGTGCTATAATAACAGGAGACAGAACAGTCTGAACAGTGCTTGGATTGCATAGTAATAATAATAATATAGTACTTTCCAAAATTGCCTGAATAGTGTGAAATATAGCACAACCTACAGAGTGAGTTATAAAAATGGCTGCTTTACACTAGTGTTACCAACCTCTTTTGTCACTGCCAGAGAATAACTACAGCTCCCTTTGGGATGAAAGGTTCTATATAAAGGAAAGGTATCATTACAATCATTACTATTATTATTGAAATGAAAAACCTACGAGTAATAAGCAAGTATACATGAAATTTCACAGTCATCCTGCACGTGTATCCTATCAATGCACCTCAAAGGCAGCATTTCTCTCCCCTACCACACACCAATTGCCATAAGAATGGTGGAATGACCCTCCCACAGGTGACTCACAGGCACTGTACACATTTCTAAAGAACAGGGTTTGCATCTAATTGTGCAATGAATAATAAACCCTCAAAATGGGAAATCCTGGAAAGCAGGGGGAGGATGCATGGCCAGGCTCTGCAAGCTGCTTGGGACACCCAATACTCTGAAATTCACACCTCAACCGGCGTGTGTGTCTGCTCCCCAAAAGACATACAAACACAGTAACAGAAAAATCTTCCCAGATCTGATATTTTCCACACAAAATAAGTGTCCTGCAGGCTGCATTCAAGCAAAATTTCTAGCCACACTCATCTATGTGGTGGCATCCAGCAGGGCCAGGACACTTGCCCAGCATGGGGATCTGACACCCCATGTCCCCCGTCATGGCCACAGGCTACATCTTTGCTCCATGGGCCACCCCGCTTTTCACCCAAACCTTTGCTTCAAGGGGTGTCTTTTGCTTTAGGCAAAACAGGGAGGGTAAGCAGAGCAGGCAGAGATTTCCCCAACTCGGTGGTTTAGCTGGGCTGACAACTGGGTGCGATTTTAATGACAGATTGAGAAGGTAAAATGAAACCAGGGAGGTGGAATGGGCGCCTCTTTCCACGGTGGCAATAGGAAGGCTCCCCAGAGGCTTGCTCAAGTGCTTAGCAGGGCCGGGCTGCAGAGCACTTGTTTGTGTGTCACCTTCCCCTGCTTTCTCTTTTGTGGAGGGGAAAAATGCAATTTTTATCAGCAAAGCAGCACAACTGCTTCAGAAACAGTCCGTGAGGGATTTGATGGAGTCTCACTTGATGTGCTGAGAGCGTGCTCAGCTCCTGAAAGAAAACAGTCCCCAGCACCATATACACTAATCTATATCATATGGGCTCACTTACTTTTATTAAGACGTCAAAGTAGCCTTCTGCATTCCCCGGGCTAATTGGAGTATAGGCTCTCTGGACTTCCAAACCGTTCACCACTCCTCTGAGGAGAAAAACACAGGCAGCCCCTGCAACGTTAGTGCCAGCGCTCGGCTCCTCCCTGGGGACAGCAGCCGTGTCCAGTGTCCTGGGGAGGCAACAGGATCTCTCCCCGGCAGCACAGGCTGTGCACAGATGCAAAACACCCCCCTGGGGCAGCAAACATCGAAGTGGGACGTAAGAGCTAAAGGCACCTTCTGTTCTCCTCGTGATGGCCCTGCCTGTTGGACACACCAGCAGAAGGACGTCTAAGCTGCTTCGTAAGGAGCAGCCAAATGAG